GTTATTTGGGATTTAACTTGTATTTGGGTCTGCGCATGTTGCTTATATAAAGTGTCATTACTTTGTAATCCACATAACTGCAGTAACGATAATAACAATTTCAGTTTAAGAGTTAGTTACACTAACTAACTCAACAATCTCTCTCCCTCTCTCTCTCTCTCTCTCTCTCTCTCTCTTCTTCTCTCTTCTTCTTCTCTCTTCTTCTTCTTCTTCTTCTTCTTCTTCTTCTTCTTCTTGTTTTTCACAATATTCATCTCTTGAATCCCTTGTTCCAACAAATTGGTATCAAGAGCTTGTTTGCGATTCAGAGAGAATCTAATGGCAAACGGATCAACGACCTCAACACAATTTCCAGCAAATTTTCTGGTTTTCAAAGGTGAAAAATATCAAAGATGGGTGACACAAATGAAGGTTATTTTCAGATTTTAAGATATTGTAGAATCGTGAATGATGGAATGTCACAATTGGAGGAAGATGCTACGGAAGCCCAGAAAGCTGCGCACAAAGATCAGAGGAAGAAAGATGGTAAGGCACTATTCTTGATTCACCAGTGTGTGGATTGTGATGTGTTTGAAAAGATAATTGAAGAAGAAACAACAAAAGGAGCTTGGGACAAGCTAAAGTCTTTGTATGATGGAGATGAGAAACTGAAGAAGGTGAAGTTGCAGACTCTGAGAATGTAGTATGAGATGCTGCAGATGAAAGATGATGAATCTGTTTTAGTATATTTCTCAAGAGTGGTGATGCTAACAAACCAGATGAAGGCGTGTGGTGAGCTGCTAACGGATTTTCAGAAGATAGAAAAGGTATTAAGATCTCTAATTGCAGATTTTGATTACTTTGTTGTAACAATCGAAGAGGCCAAGAATCTATCTGAGATGAAGTTGGAAGAACTTCAAGCTTCTTTGGAGGCTCATGAAATGAGGCCGCAGCAAAGAAACTCTGAAAGGGAGAAGACAACTGAACAAGCATTACAATCAAGATTCAGCAAGAAAGATAGAAAAGAGAAATCGAAGCAGCGTAAGAATCTTGCTGGTGATGAGAAGTCAAGCAAGAATACTGATTCGAAAGGAGTGGGCAACAAGTATTCTGAGAAGAAAGTTGATACGAAAGGGGTGCAATGTTATAATTGTCAAGGTTTTGGCCATTATGCTAGAGATTGTCGAAGCAAGAAAGCTGCAAGGTCGAAAGATAGTGATGAAGCTCAATATACACGAGCTGGAAGTAATGATTATGATGATGTGTTGTTGCTGGTGAACACTCAACTGAACACTGAAAAAAACAACATGTGGTATCTGGATTCAAGATGTAGCAACCACATGACTGGCAATAAAACTGGTTAACCAAGTTAGATGAGTCAGTCGAAAAGGTTATAAATTTTGCAGATGGCAAGCATATCAAATCAGATGGTAAAGGAGACATTTCGATTATCAGGAAGGATGATTGAAAGGCTATTATCACTGAAGTTCTGTATGTACCTTCGATGACAAGTAACTTGATAAGTGCAGGTCAATTACTTGCAAAAAGCTTCAATATGAAGTTGGAGAATAATCAAATGAAGGTATATAAGGTTGATGGGAGGCTAATAATGAAAGCACCATTGGCAGAGAACAAAACCTTCAAGGTCGAACTCAACACATCAGATGAAAAATGTCTTGCTTCAATTGTAGAAGAAGACAAGAACTGGATATGGCATCACAGGTATGGACATCTAAACTTCAAAATTTTATGTATGCTCAATTAGAAGAAAATGGTGCTTGGGTTGCCGTATGTGAAGGAACCAAAGCAGATATGTGAAGAATGATGCAAAGCTAAGCAGGCAAGGAAGGCATTCAAACGTGATTTTCCTATAATGTCAAGGCAAAAACTGGAGATGGTTCATTCAGATGTGTGTGAATCTTTCGAAGTAAAGTCCAATGGAGGTAATAGGTATTTCCTTACTTTCATTGATGAATTCACCAGACATATCTGGATTTACCTCATTAAAAGGAAGAGTGAGGTATTCACACAGTTCAAGAAGTTCAAGTTGCATGCTGAGAAACAAAGTGGTTGCAAATTGAAAAAGTTAAGAACTGATGGTGGTGGTGAATATACTTCAATAGAATTTGCCAGATTTTTAAATGAGAAAGGTATAGAGCATGAGGTTGTTGCATCCTATACGCCTCAGCATAATGGCATCATTGAGAGAAAGAATAAAAGTGTAGTGAACATGACCAAATGTATGTTGAAAGCTAAGAATATGCCTAAGAGATTTTGGGATGAAGCAGCTTCGACAACAGTATACATTCTAAACAGATGCCCAACGAAGAAGATGGTCGAAAAGACACCACACAAGGCTTGGACAGGGTCGAAGCAAAATGTAAGCCATCTTAGAATTTTTGGATCAATGTGTTTCAAGCATGTACCTGAACAATTGAGAAAGAAGCTGGATGATCGAAGTGAAGTCACGGTGCTCATAGGTTGTCATTCGACTGGTGCATATAAGTTGTATTCACCAATCGAAGATAAACTAGTGATCGGTAGAGATGTTCTTGTAGACGAAAGCAAAGGATGGGATTGGAGTCGAAGTGCAGTTCGACAAGAATCAGACAGGGTCATAACTGTGTTCGAAGTAGATGAAGCTTTGACAAGTCAAAATAAACAAGGTGATACTTTGACTGGTTGAAATGAAGAACCACCTGTGCAGAACGAAAGAAGATCCACAAGAACAAGAACTGAGTCAACTAGGTTGACTGGATATGAGAGGTTTCCAGATCAAGCAATAGATGTTGATGGTGACTTAATCGAAGAAGCCATGATGATGGCTGAAGCAGAACCAATTGACTTTGGTGAAGCCTTAAGCAATTCGAATTAGTGTGAAGCCATGAAAGAAGAACTTAGAGCCATTGAGAAGAACAACACTTGGGAGCTTGTCGAAAGAACCAACAAGAAACCAATTGATGTGAAATGGATCTACAAGGTGAAATGAAGGCCATATGGTGAGATTTCAAAGTACAAGGCAAGACTTGTGGCCAGAGGTTTTCTACAACAACCAGGTATTGACTTTGATGAAGTGTATGCGACTGTTGCTAGGATAGAAACAATCAGGATTGTTGTTTCGATAGCTGCATATAGAGGATGGAAAATGCACCAACTTGATATGAAGTCAACATTTTTGAATGGTCTTTTGGAAGAACAAGTCTATGTCACTCAACCACCAGGCTTCGACGTCAAAGGGCATGAGTCGAAGGTTTACAGATTGAGGAAGGCTCTCTATGGCTTGAAGCAAGCTCCTAGAGCTTGGAATAAAAGGATAGATAGCTTCCTAATTGAAGCAGGGTTCACAAAGTGTGTCTCTGAACATGAAGTGTATGTAAATTATGTCGAAAGAGCCAATCAAATCATTTTATGCCTCTATGTTGATGACTTACTCATTACAGGAGCTGATAAAGCTGAGATAATGAAGGTAAAGTCAAAGTTAATGTAGGAATTCGAAATGTCTGATTTAGGGAATATTTCCTACTTCCTGGGAATGGAATTCAAAGACATCGAAAGAGGAGTTTTATTGCATCAAATAAAGTATGCTCAAGATATATTGAAGAGCTTCAATATGAGCAAATGTAAGGCATCTGTTACTCCATTAGAGAATGGAGCAAAGCTGAAGAAAGAATCGAATGATGAGTTTGTAAGTTCGACCCTTTACAAACAAATCATTGGATCATTGAGGTATCTTTGCGATACTAGATTAGATATCTGCCAAAGTGTAGGATTGTTGAGAAGATTTATGGAGAAGCCTCAGAAATGTCATCTCATTGCAGTACAAAGAGTGTTGAGATACATCAAGGGAACTGTTGATCATGGTGTGTTGTTGCCAAAAGGATTGAAGAACAGTACAGAGGTCGAAGTGCATGGATACACTAACTCAAATTTCAGTGGAGATCAAGATGAAAAGATGAGTACTGCAGGGTACATTTTCATGATCGAAGGAGCTCCAATCTCCTGGAGTTCGAGGAAGCAAAGCATTGTGGCTCTGTCTCCACGCAAAGCAGAATATGTGGTTGCATCATATGCTGCATGCCAAGCAACATGGATTAAAATGCTATTTGAAGAGCTCAAAATAATGGAATCAAAGATGAAGCTGTTTGTTGATAACAAGTCAGCAATAAATCTTGCGAATCACCCAATGTGTCATGGTCGAAGTAAGCACATTGAACGAAGGTATCATTCTCTGAGAGACCAAGTAAACAAAGGGAAGCTTGAAATAGAATATTGCAAGACAGAAATGTAACTAGTTGACATACTCACCAAACCTATGAAGAAAGTGAGATTCAAAGAGTTAAAGAAAGACATTGGGATGAGAAGTCTTGATAACATGAATTAAGAGGGTGTGTTAGTTGGTTAATTTCTGTTAGTTGTTATTTGGACTTTAGCTTGTATTTGGGTCTGAGCATGTTGCTTATATAAAGGGTCATTACTTTGTAATCCACATAACTGCAGTAACAATAATAATAATTTCAATTTAAGAGTTACTTAAACTAACTAACTCAACATTCTCTCTCTCTTCTTCTCTCTTCTTCTTCTTCTTCTTCTTCTTCTTCTTCTTCTTCTTCTTCTTCTTCTTCTTGTTTTTCACAATATTTATCTTTATTGAATTCTTTGTTCCAACAAAATCAAACTTTTTCCTTTTTAATTTTTCGTATTTCAACTTGATAGTTATTATTTATGACTAACAGATTTTTGGTTTTTGTTTATAAAAAAAAAACAGAATTTTTGTTTTTAACTGCCTTTTTTGGGCCATATGGTAGAGGCCCAAAGTCCTTGGACCAATGTTTCACAAACTGTGTATGAAAAAAAAAAAAACAGAACCAATGAAGAGGTGAGGTGCAGTGTCTAACACGTGTGCCTTGTCTTCTTGTCTGCTGAATTTCTCAGTAACAGTAAATTTACAGACACAAATGGAAGAAACAATGCAAAGGGTTTAGCAAATTAATTACAAAGTGAGAAGAAGAAGAAGAAGCTCAATGGGTTTTGGTGGTTCCTCCTTTTCCTTCTCATCTTCTTCTTCAACCTTTTCTTTGCAACACACAGTTCTACCCTTAAAGAGAAGAAATTGCTACTTACAAACCTGCTTTTCTGTATCTTATCACAAGTTTGTTGATTTTGCTTTGGATGAAACCAATCTCCATACTCACTTGCTCCCTTCTCCTTTACAGGTTTCCATTATCTCACTCTTTTCTCTCTTTCTTCTGATATTTGCACGTGTTACTTTATTGCAAATTGAAATTATTGATTAGGGTTATAGTTAGTTTCATTCTGTTTTACAATTTTAGAAACGATTTATTATTGAAATGAGTAATGCTTTGTTTGTCACACTTAAATCTATGAAATGAGTAACGATTTATCCTTTGCTTCAAACTTTCTTATGTTGTTTTGCTAGGAAAAGTATAATTCCATGAATTCTTCGGATGGTAAAGGAACACTTAGTATGCTATCATTTGAAGCTGCCAAGATTAGGCTTCTGCGTAGCTTGATCATCGAGACAGAAAAAATGCAGGTTTGTTTTTAAATCTGTCTATTGATTATCAAATTGATACACATGATTGGTTTCTCGTACTATTAAAACCCCAAGCTTTTGTAGAAGCCGCTAATTTTTCACGGTCTTGCACAACTTACGCAGGTTTTGGACTTTGCTGTCTTTCCAAAAGCCGAGTGTGATGTCCCCATATTTTGTGCCAACTTTTTCACGTCAGCTAAAACAAATATCATTGTGTTGTAAGTTGGCATCTTCTTCCTTAGTTATGGACTTATAGTATCTTAGTATATCTCGGAATCAGAGCCATCTCAAATTTTTGAAGACTATTTAGATTATCGCAGTTTAATCATGACAACAAATAGATATCATATTTAACTAGGGTTTAACCATGACAAACTTTTTATGCGGCCCTCTTTAGCCACAGTTTAACCGTGACAATTTGGAATTTGTGCGGTAGTCCGTCTTGCATGCCCTCAAAGAGGACCCTGCTAAGAGTATATCTTAGTTCAAACATTAAAAACAATGTACTACATGTAATATAGAGCACTAATGTCGTGTTAATGTTGTCAGGGACCTTAACCCCTTGCATGATATCATCAATCAGGAGGATTACAAGGAAAAGTACTTCAAAAGCTTAATTCCTCTTGGCCTGAAATATGCTGAGGTAACCGAAAATATTTTCATTAGTTCGTTAACGGCCTCATGCATACAACATACACGCGTGTTTTTGTATTAATTAAAGTAGTTCTCTCTCAAAGGACTTAGCGTGTTGACTTAACAGAGACTTCATGCAGCATTTTCCATGGGGAGGAAAGCTCACAAGTGAGTCTATTAAATTTTTTTCACCGATTGTCATTTGGACAAGGTTTACTTCAAGCCCACAAAATTATGATATTCTGTATTCGGCTTTCAGAGATTATTATAAGGTAATTCCTACGACCATGGAAATTCATAGGTTTCTAATATGTTTAGTAAACTCTAAAACAATTGACCGTTAGCTTCACAGATATGGTTGGAATTGATAGATACAGCAGTAGAAGAGACAGATAAATATCAAATTTCCCGCAATCTTGAAGCACAACATAGATATCTGACATGGAGAACTGAAAAGGTAGTTTGGATTCCTATCATAAACTTTTGTCTATTTGGAAGTCATATGATTGGTGATGGATCTAGTCATGAGAAACACACATGTTTGTTGTTTTTTTAACTTCGAATTGTTTTCGAAAATTTCTTGTCCCCGGAAATATTTTGTAAGTAGGATCCGGGACATGCTGTTTTGAAGAAGCTGATCGGGGACATACTTGCAAAGGTAGACGAATTTGAGGTCAGTTTTGTTTCTGTACAATCTAGTACTAGAGATCCTCACTCTTTGTTTTGTACTATAGGATTTATTAAGTGGCTTTCTCTTTAACGGAGTCGATGAACTAGGAAGCAAAACATTCAATGACTATTTTCCACAGTACCTTGGTGAGGAAGGAACTTTAAATAAGAAAGGCGGTGTTGTTGGAAAGTCTTTTGAAAATCGTCCGTGGGATGCAAGAGGAAATTTCCTTGGTAAGCATGCTTGATTCAAAAGTTCAGTAACTAACCGGAAAACAGAAAACGTAAGATTACAAGAGGTCTTCGGAGTTTTAACGTGGCTAACATATAATCCTTGGACTATTTTAGGTCAATGAGTACGGGAAGCTTTGCACTCGAACTGGTTAGATTTCTTTGACTTGTTCTGCAAGAAAATGTTGGGTTTTCGCTGCAAATTTTGTCCAAGATGAATACTTGGTTGAATCAATTGATGAATTGGTCATACCAATTACCAACATGGTTGAATCAAATAATTTGTCACCTACAATAGGATTATGGATTTGGAATGTTAATTTTTCAAGGTTCTATTGATCATTTTGTAATTGAATATTTATTGAAATGTTTCTGACTATCTTGTTTGATTCGAGTTATATCGCATTTGCTCTATATACATCACATCCCTTCGAAAGTAAGTCACACATTTATTTTGTCAAATAAAATAATCTGAAAATATATTTTCGAAATAAATTCGGAGGTATACTTTCGTAGGAGACCCATATATAAGAATATACTAACTCATACTTCAGTGTTAGGAAGATCCTAAAGTCCCACATTGGTTGGAGATAGAGCATTGAAAGAGTCATATAGAGTGACGCTCCTGACCTTTCTAACCGGTTTTATAAGGTGAAGCTAAGTCAAATTCTAAGATTCAGCAACGATGAAATCCGTGCTTCAAGTGATCTTCATTGCCATGTTGAGGTAATGGCTTCTGCTTAGTTTTGTTTCATGTTTCATTAAGAAAAGTCCAAGATGTAGTTTTAAATATTTCTTCTTCTCAAAGTATACCTGATGGTTTTATCAAAACAATGGAACAAATGCATATGCCCCACAATTGAGGAACCTTGTAGTTTTAATTATGGCAATTTCTCTCTACACCTTTATGTATTGGAAAACACTATCAAAAATACGAAAATATCTTTGGATTTATTCGGAGATATATTTCAAAAATATCTTATTTTTTGCAAAAATTTAATTCTTAGATATATCTCCTAAAATAAATAGAAATAGAAATTTTTTTTGCAATAGAAATTTTCTATTATTTTTATAAATATAAATATTATTTATTATTTTCTTTAATTACTATTATTTTTTATAATAATTGTTTTCTTGACTAATATATAATTCACATAATAATAATAATAATATAATAATAATAATAATTATTATTATAATTATTTTTTTGACTAATATATAATTCATATATTATTATTTTCTATAATAATAATTTTCTATATTATTATATTAATATTTTAGTAATAAAACAAAGCAATCTAAATTGATATATTTTCGTAATAAAACCATGTAAAAAAATCTATTAAAATACACCAAAAATAATAATATTTTATTTATTTTGATTCAATGTTTTTTCGTATTAAATTATATTATTTTAAATCATGGTTTTTATATTTTATTATTTTTTGTACTAAAAATGAATTATTTAACCTAAGAAACTTAAAATGTCTGTTGTTTTTACAAGCTTAAAATTGGAAACAATTGTTTTTCAAAGGGGTCATATTTATGGCCATGGTTTCTCAATGAAGCATAATAAACATATTCTATTACAGTTAACGACAATAATTAAGTGCTTGAAAATAATAATGTATGTTATTTATTAGTCAAGAAAATAATAATAATAATAATAATAATAATAATAATAATAATAATAATAATAATAATAATAATATAAATAATAAATAATATTTATATTTATATTTATAGGAATAATAGAAATTTATATTTAAAAAATATATTTTTATTTATCAATTTTATTGAAAAACTAATAGTAATTGGAATAAATGGCATTTTCCGTAATAAGAATTCACTTCAAAAAAATTTGAAGATGTATTTTTAAACTAAATTTTTGCAAAAAAAAATAGAATTTAATAGGTTTATAGATATACATTAAAAAATATAAAGTATTTTAAAAATTTCGCCAAAAATTTAAGAGAAGGTATAATGGTATAAAGAGAAATTGCCTTAATTATTATTGATAAGTATGTGTCTCCTATGCAAATATACTTTCAGATTTATTGTAGAAGTATATTTCTAAACTACTTATTTTTAGACAAAACAAAGTGTGACTCATTTATGTGGTATGGTATGTATGGGGTGTGTAATGACGTGCATTTTTTATTTTTAAGGATACTATTGATTTTTCATCAGGATGTGTGAGCACTACCAAGAGTGCAATAAACAATCCCCCTAATGATATCTAGGCTTTTTTTTCTCTCTCTTTGGTCTATAAGTTGAAATCCATTTTTAGACAAGTACTAAGATTCACAAAGAATCTATTTGGCACCCCCAGTTTATACGTGACAACCGCACATACCCTTTAACTTAGATCATAAATTCATATCATTCTCATAATTAAAAAAAATACATTTTTCACGTTGATAATATTATCTTTCGGATATTTTACAACAAAAAGAATAGATTTTTATCGAAGATTTTGCAGTTTATACTAGTCATTTACAAATAAATGTTGCTTTTCATTTAAATTTATACATTCATATTGAATATTTTGATAAGATACAAAATATTTAAGTGAAAATATGCTTTATTATTAGATTTTTGAAATTTTCGATATCAAATTTATGATTTTATACCGACAATTTAAAAATATCTGATATAATTCTATATTTTGTTTGCATTTTTAGCGACAATTTAGAAATATGTGGTATGGATAGTATGCGTTTTTTATCGACAATTTTGAAGTTGCTGGTAAAAATACATATATGCATACCAGTTTTTAAGGGCATGCAAGACGAACTATCGAAAAAACCTAAAATTTATTACGGTTAAACCATATCTAAATAGGACCTCATAAAATCTTTATTAGTGCTAAAATATGGTTAAATAGGACCTCTAATTATTTTGTCATGGTTGTACCTAGCTAATCTATAATGAGCTTCCAAAAACTTAAGACGTCTCTGGTACTCGATATTTCTAAAATATCGGTAAAAACACTTATATGAATACTGAATTTTTAGAATTGTCGGTATATGTAAAGGGTATGATAGGATGTTTTAAAAAATTCACTAGATTAATTTTTTGTTGTTGAGTTTTTGGTTTGTCTGTAGTGAGGAGAAGAGAAAAAGAGTGCAAAATTATTCATAGATTGAGCGAGAGAGCAATTGCAAAGAGCTATGGTGGAGGCATCAGAGATGACGGAAATCAGTTGCAAACTAGGATATGTAGAGTAGTCCCCATCGATTCTCATTGTATGAGGATTAAGCAGTCGCACAAGCTGCATACTCTACTGCGTAGAGGAGATAGAGTTGTACGTGCCAAAGTTCATAATGTTGAGTCAGATATTGTCGTTGTTGATGATGTTCAGGCAACAACTTAGGATGATACAAAGGTTTATCCTTAAACTGATACATAGGTTTCTGATATAGTTGATGCAGAGGTGTTGACTCAGATGATATGAAGGCGTCTATTCAGGCTGACAAAAATGGATGATTCCCTGGAGGGCCTATTGACCCTACCTTTCTCATTAGGTATTCTAATCATGTGGTATTTAGATTAGCGGTTAAGTATCATGTATACATCGATGTTAGATGCACATCTCCAATTGTTGACTTTGAGCATCTCGATTGGGCCCAGGGTTATTCTGCTTTGACGATATTATATACTATCGTTTGAGTGGTGATTGCCTATGATATGAGACTGTTTACCGGTTATATGAGTCTATTTTAGGTATGAATATTTATTATGTTTTATTTATTTTGTTCTTATTTATCAAATACATTTCATATGTGTAGTTTGTGTTTATTTCTGAGTGTTGGATATACAAGTATTTTCCATCCATTTGTGATATGCGTGATCATGGTCTTCTCTCTATGGCTCCCCACAGTCCACCAGATGGGAGTATATGCATTCTCATTCAGGCGATCCGCTGGAGTACAAGCGGAGGATCAATGTTGTGACTGTTGATGATGTCATATGGGCACCTTATGCATACCATATAGTGCATCAGGAATTCAATGGCACTGACCTATTTTCGCTTAATCTGCAATGAGAGAGTTCTGTGGCTAAATATTTACCTTAGAGATGTCTGCACCAGTTTAGGTATGTTTAGGACATTCCTAAACTAGTTCGTGTTTTGCCATATGAGGGCATTGATAGATGGTTTAGGTATAACATTGCCATTAGTGCCATTGTTATTCGAGAAAATGCAATAAATGTGTCTTTCTTTGGACAATGTCTTGATGGTTAATTAGAGTGATAATTTAGAGTATCACTCCCTCACATCAACCCACGTGTTCAAATTGCAGATGGTGTTGGACCTTTAGATAATGAAGGACCTTCAGATGGCGTTCCACCGTCTCCTCGTGGTATGATTGACCAACAACGACTATAGATGGTATCACTTCTTTCAGATAACCTCATGAGTTTAGTAAACTTAAATTCCAGGTCTATGTTGGGTTATCGTAAATAACATACATAGCTCATGATGGACCAATGTAGATCTTATATGTTTATTATTTATTGTTGTTGAAATTATTTCGGGTTGTACTGAATTATTTGTATATTATTGACACTTTATCTTAATATTGCATTAAATGAAAATTAGCATTACATTATTGCGAGATGAACTAAACTTAACATCAACATTGTTAATATAACTTAACATAAAAATAACATGAACATAACTTAAACATTACTATATGATTCATGACGTTTCAACATCTTGATAATATTGTCGACATATCTCACAACTATCGCATTCACCTCAATTGGACCTTTTGTTTAGTATAGGTGAAATATGCTCTACATAACTCTTAAATCTTCATCGATTTTGTTTTGATGGTGAATGATATTTGATTTTTAACCATGCTTCTGTTGTTTGGGTAGCGCAAGATATTATCCAATTTGGATTTCAAAACATCAAGAGAGATGTCTTTTCTGAGTCTAAAATTAGAAGGAAGACTCCCCCTATTAAAGTACACAAATGTAAGATACCAAAATTGAGACACGGTGAAATATTTTTATTAACAACATATGAGACATATTTATACAAGTTTTAAATTATTATAGATCATGCAAAAGTGTTGATGCAATCTCAACTCTACAAAAAGTGTCGGTCCAATTACAA